ATATACAACATTGATCTACAAACCGAGGCCGAAGCATAAGAGTCGAGTTTGCTCAGTACATCATGACGCCAGCAGGAGAAATACGATACCTATATAACGAAAGGATTACCAATTTATAACTATTAGGGCCAATTTCACCAACAACAGTCCGTTATTCTCCACCTATAGGGTAACCGACCGTCAAATACAACGAATGAGCTTCAAGTTCCAATCAACAAATTTTAGCAACCAATAGCTATGAAATGTTGAAAACAAAATACTGTCAAAGTATGAGATGACATCTTGTCATTGAAACATCATCAGCTTATTGAATATTAAGAAATTACATATAATTCAGTCAAAATTTAAACAAATGTTTGATTTTTGAATAAAATTCATGATTTAATTACTATTGTTGATTTTTTATTCATCTTTATATTATTTTCTTCAATTGATATGCGATTTTACTGATTCAGGATCATCTACTGGGTGTTTTTTCCTATAAACCTCTTGCAGATAGCCATTAAGCACCTACTTGATGACTGGATCTACCAAAAAGTTCATAGATATTGCTCGTTTCCAAACATTCATTCATTTACTTGCCGTTCATCAGAACCATTATGGCACCTTAGATTGATATTCCCACAAAACCATTCTGGTTTTTTAATATCCATACATCCATAAAGTTGAATATTTTTCGTTGTTCAGGAACTTAACAAACATCCACACTATATTCAGAGCGATTAAGAAATACCCAAATATATGTCGTAGAGCTACCAGCAAACCTAAAACCTGCAGAAAAACTAGAAATTTGCAATATTTTTCTTTTTTCACTGAGTACATATTCTGGGTTATATTTATATTAGACGTTATTTGAATCACAAAACATATACACTGGTTTGAATAAGAGCTGATTATCTCCTCATATTTTAAAACTAACCATATCGACAAGTGACACATAATTCTGTGGGATCCGTTAACACGTCGTCCCAGTGGAGCAAACTCTGCCAACTGTCGAAATAAACTTTATTAATTCCAAGTCTTATTTTTGTTTTACTATGCCTGCTTAGATATTCAAATACGGCCAGGAATTATTAGCGCCTGGCTATTTTAGGCCTTCAATAACTCCTTATTTTAGATATCTCCTTATTTTGTATTTTCCACGCATTCATGGTAGAAAGAAAAATATTTTATCGAATATCGATACCGTATACCGTGCAGCAGGCACGCCCATCACTACTTTGACAGATTGCAGAATGATGTCAAGGTGACAATCGTTATGTGGCAGTTGTTTTTGTTTTTGTCTGAAATAGGTAAGTAGGCTTTGTGTATCCATTTTTATTTTTATAGCGTTTCCAGAAGTTCATGTTTCGAAACGATGTCAAGGGCCGGCAGGGGAAAATCTTTCTCTGAGAACTGAAGATCATTAAACGCGCTGTTTTTAGTCTATTGTATTCTATCCCTTGGGGAAGTACAGAATGAAGAAAAGACTACAGTGCTCAGTGGCCACTCAGTGGCTCAGTGCTCCTCTGTAATGATAATATTCAAATACTACTAAACACCTAAATAGCTTTCTGGCCTTTCAATTTCGAAGCTACCAGTCCTCGCTTAGAGATGGTAGCACAGTTAAGGTTAAGGATAGACTCGGGGTATACGGTTACGGATGTTTATGATTTCTCGAGATATCGATATATCGTCATGAAACCATCGATGCGTAAAGATCGATGTTCTACGTCCGATACATCAATGTATCGTCTATCGTCGCCATCCCTATATTGTATACCCACCAGTCACCAGTCAAAAACCTTAACCACCAATATTTTACCACTATTTATAATTATTTTTAGCTCTTATTTTTCAGTAATTACTAATAATTTTAGGTCTATGTCTACAGTAATTGCGTTATGCACCTCGGAGATGTAGGGATTAACATGTTTTACACATATCGGTGTTTTAGGATGGGGACGACCATACTGTTTTGATTGCTTTGAAGAAATTCATTAACCCATGAATTTATAACAAATGATGTATGATGTAAAGAGAGATGAGGAATTGGTTGGAATACATTTTATATTCTATTTTCTTGCAAATCCGCACAATTCAACAGGTATGTGTAGCTATAATGATCACATATACACACAGTATATTGAACTTAACAAATTTCGAGATTGCCATGAATTAACAAACGACCAAACCTGCTGCCAAATTTAACAGGTAGAAAATCGACCTATTATTTCTCACATTCCCATTCGCTGAGGGGATAACGGATGGTCAAATGTGCACCTATAACATAAATCAAAATACATGAAAGTTGTCCTGTTTTCTCTGTACAAAAGCATCATGTTGGAATCAAAAAGTGGTCTTGTTTATAATACAGCCGAATTTTCACGATTTTATTCAACATTTTAATAGAAATCACTGATATTCTGAGACCTTTGACAGCTTCCGTCAAATTGCATTTCGATAAGGTATTTTCCTATCGGTCCATAATATTAATGTTGGTGAATTGGACCCTAAAAGTACAATAGGCAATAATCTTTGTAATAAAAGTGAAATAAAATACTCTCGTTTTCTTTTTCCATGTCAGTGCACGAGTGTCAATCCTGTATAACCTCTTTGAAAACTTGCTGCCACGCCAAATCGTTGACATCTCTATTGTGGTAGTCCTTGTCATGAATATCCCACAAGCAGGAGTGCTTTTCGACAGCCAGCTGCTTCCTAACGACGTGACGTCCAAAACGCACGTCACTGCGAGGTTCTGGATAGACATTTCCGACTATGTGGGGTGGTACATTACAAATGTATGCCAGTGCTGCGTTCCGCGAGACGTCATTAGGTTTTAACCGTTCCGTTTTTACGAACGGACGTACGGAATGTGTTCCGTTCGAAAAAAAAACGAACGTGTGCTGCAATCAATGTATTTTATTAGCGTTTGATGCATTCGGGTCTCCGAATACGGAAAACGAATTCGGAAATGAAACGCGGAAAACGAATGGGGCCAGAAAGGCGTACGAATTTCAAAAACCACGCGAAAGCGGGCGCGGGTAGTGGGGATAAGTAGCTTGGTACTCGTAAATTTAGTCGCTATGGAGCATCATACCGGTGAGCAACATACATTCTGTGTAAAGGCTCATTAAAAAAATGGAGTTTCGGGCAATATTGCGCGACGTCTGTTTGGCTCTGAATTTAGCTTGGATGATCTAAATCAGTGTCCTAGTGAAAGTGTGATCAGGTTGAGGGTCAGAAAGTTCGAGTCTACCGGTCCGACACATAATCAGAAACCTGGTCCAAGGTCAATACAAACACAGGAAACTGTGATCGAAGTTTCGACATCCATACGGCGTGATCCCCAGTTATCATCCCGAAAGAGATCAGCTGAGCTCGCCATATCAAGAACATCTTTAAGGTACATTTTGGTAAAATATTTTAAATTTGACATTAGCGCATGGACTGAAACCGAATGATCACCATCTATGCCGTGCTTTTGCTGAAACGGCGCTTTCAAGCTTAGATCGATATTCTCATTTCTGAAGAATCTCATTTCCATTTAAGTGGATTTGTCAACAGGCAAAATTACCAGTACCGGACCGGAGAAAGTTCCAAATTAAAACACCAAAGACATTTGCATTCGCGTAAAGTTACAGTTTAGGCAGCCATGTCGGCTGAAGGAATCATCGGATCCTATTTCTTCGAAAATGAGCAATGCCCGACTGTAACTGACCAGTCTTATCTCTACTCATAAATATTACATAACTATTTCTCTCCATAATTTTAAGAAATACAACAGCAGGACTTGGTTTCAACAAGACAGCGCGACATCTCATGCAGCTAACGAGTCTATGGCAGTTATAAACGAAATGCTGAACATCGCAAGAAGGGGACATTCCGTGGCCTCCCCGGAGCCCAGATCTCACACCACTGGATTTTTTCTCTGGAGATATCTCAAGAACAGCGTTTACGTTAATAATCTGACGACGATTGAGCAGCTCGAAAACAAAATTCGCAAGATTTCCGCTATCCCACAAGCAGTGCGCCAGCGAGCGTTTACGTATTTGAAGTCTAGATTCGAGGAGTGTGTGGCTCGCAGCTCTCAATGATGTTATTTTGAAAAACTAAGCTCCTATGTTTTTTTTTATACTCCAACTACCACGAAGGCCTAAGGCCTAAGCACCCATTGGGTACAGTGGAGCTATAGGGGGTTACATGGGAAAGGGGGAACTCCACACGGACTCTGGCGAGGGAACACGTGTGCATGCAACATGCACACAGTCTGGCTCCGCCTACGAGATCCGCCGGGTGGTACCTCCACGTTCGACAGTCAGAGACCGTCTACCACCTACGGACAATCACAACATCCATAGCCAAGGGAAAAATTTCTCCTGACGACGGGGACTCGAACCCGCACAGCGCACGGCGGCTGATCAGGACACCGAAGAGTCTACTACTGCGGCCACCGCTGCTGCCTAAAAATGTGTTAACTTTATCAAAAATATAAATTATCTTTAGTGCGCTTTGTGTTTTTTTTTCTGATTTTTCAAAATCCGCTCGACTTAATGGCTCACCATGTACAAAAATTGAAGTAGGTTTTCTGCTTGCTGACTTGCTGACATAAATCTCCCAAAGATGGAACGAATAATCTGCACGCAGTATTAGAGAGAAGCTAGTACTTTTATTTTGCGTTATGTTTTTTGTTATTCTGGGCTTGCGCAGTATCGAGACAATCTTTCGTTAACCGTTATCTGGATAAGAAGCTTCGCTAGAATTGGAAAATAAGGGAGACGTTAGATAGTTGTGTCCTTCCTTATTTTGATTTTGCGCATTAGCGAGACAACCTTTCGTTCTCTGTTATCATGAGAAGCTCCGTCAGGTTACAGTGAATAAGGAAGGGCTTACTTCGTGAGGCTATTCCATCCTTATTCAGAGCTGTTGCCAGAATTTGTAACAAGACGAACATCTCCCTGATGCAAAATACCCGCACTTAATTTCTTATCCGTCAGATTGAGTCAGAAGAATATTTTTACCTATACTTGTATCGTAAGCATGTAGGTACTCCGAAGTCATAAATTGTAGGACCAAGCTTGATTTGCCCACGGCTGGACCTCCCAACATGAGGACTTTATATGGTGATGGTGGAGGGGCGGAAGTGGAGGACTCTCTTGAAGACGCTAAGCTGCACGAAGCTGAAGTCCGCGCTGAACCTGCGGCGCTCACAGCAGCTGGAAGTTGTTCTGTGCTGTAACAAAAGAAACACGTTTTATAAATAGTGTTGCTCGGACGATAACTTCGTTATTACTAAAATAGATAATTGACAAAATTGTAGTCAATAGTATGCGCCTTACTTGGTAGGTATTTTTAATTCTACAGGGTGATACTTAAGTACGTGGTGACCCAAATATATATTTTTCTAAATGAAAAGGAATTTGAAGTGACATACAGGGTGTTCGAAATTAGACGGTGATATTTTAGAGGATGATTCCTTGTTAAAAAAAAATGATAAAAAGTTTGAATAAACATGGGTCCTGAAATGCATAGTTTTCAAGATACAGGGTGAAACCTAAGAAATATTTTTTTATTATATCTTAAAAAATGTTTACTTGATTCTGTTGAAATTGGAACGGATGTGCCAATGTCCAACCTCCATGCCGAAATGATTTTTTGTTTTCAAAGGCACTTTTTTAGCAAAAATTCATAAGCCAATTTTGTCCAGTGACGTGCAATAAAAGAGGCAAAGAAGTTGTATTTTTAGATGCTTAATCTAACTAATAGTAAAGTTACAAAAAAGACAGTGACGTACATTCCTTTGCCCATAATATGCCTCTTAATACTATGAATAATTTTGCAAAATCTCAACAGGATCGAGCGAATATTTTTCAAAATATCATTAATTTTTTTTAATTTACCACCCTGTATCTTGAAAACTCGGCTTTTCTGGACCCATGTTTATAGGAACTTCTTTCATATTACTATAAGGAATCACCCTCTAAAATATCTCCGTCTATTTTTCGAACACTCTGTACTATGGGGTTTTCTTTCTAAATTGTTGAAATATTTGGCAATCGATAAAAAAACAACTTTGATAACTCGCACCTCCGCAGCTCTTTCAGCTAGCTACTGACTTTTTCGTTAGAAGAACTTTATGACTCCAAATTTTCTTATCGGCTTACGGGTGCAGATTTTTTTAAATGAACGGTTTATCAAAATTTTCAAATAAAACACCCATATATTCTCACTCTTTTTGACTCCCCTTATCACAAGTTGTCGATATAATATTTATGGGAGTTTGCACGAATGGTTTTTGAGTTACAGTTAACTTGCTGATGAATCAGATATCAAGGTGAATGCAAATATTACAAAACCTTTCAGAATAAGAATAGCGTTAGTTAGTGATGGCAGATGATTAAAATTTATGTATTTTCAATATAAATTTAGTCTACCTAATGTTATACAATAAAACCGAAAAGTCAAGGAGCTGTCCCTATATTTTAGTAACTTAAAAATCAGTTCTACAGAGCTTCATAATCCTGTATCACATAGAAGTCTGTGGAAAAGGGAATCACATAGTCTGAAAATATACTGGGTCTTCCATTTAAAAACTTTGAGAGATCGATTATTTTGCATTCTTCACCGCCCTGTATAAACTACCCAAAAAATTGAAAAAGTGTAAATAGATAGAAAGAAAGTACAACCGTAAAATTTTTCTGGGAGAAAATTCAGTTCTCTAGCTAGAACAGTTCGGAGGTTCGACTTGTCAATGTTGAGTGTTTTTCCTATAGATTGCCCAATATCTCAACAATTTGAAAATATAACCCTGTTTCCCTGTTACATCAAAATGCTTCATTTGGCATGATCTATCCAAATCGGTAGGTAAAAAAGTTAAAGAAGTATGTTTGTTTTACCAAGTAATTATGAAACACCTTGCAGAAGTAACATATTTTCCCAATAAGCAGCATACTGTTGGCTACAATTTTTGCAATTATCGTTTTCAGATACCGTGAGTAAAAACGGAGCTTATCTATCGGACCCTCACAAAAAACTCACGCTGTATATTCATCAATTTATCAGATAGCTATGTTATATGCTGTGGCCTGCCGTGCTAGACCTAGCCTTAATAATAACAGAATGCCCTTGTAGAAGGGATGGCAGACAGAACACATCAACCGCCATACTTTTTATTTGATTGCAATGTTACCTAAAAGAGCGCACCGACTACATTTAAAGTACATATCAAGAAAATAAAGAGAGCCGCAGAACACATCGCACGCTTATGCCATCACAAAATCTCTTTGAATTATCAAATTCGGCGCGTAGGTATTCCGTATTCAAAGAGATACCGTGTTAACATGGGCGTGCGATGTGTTTCTTCTCTCTTTATTTTCGGTACCTACCCGAGTATAGAGTCATTTTCAAAGCAGCGCTGCCAGATCCACTGTCAAAAATTTTCATAAATCGGTTAATTTAATTATTATCGTAAATCTACTGGAATGCGCGCAAATAAATAATCATATATCTTCATAACATATTCAAATGATAAACGGCATTTCATCCCAGAAAGATTTTTTTACCTGTACTTTACAACTTATGAGACAGCATGTTTCTCATTCGTTTTTATCGATGTGATAACGGTTTACTCAATTACCTGATGTTTAGAAATATAAAGATCTGATTTCTAAATTGTATATGACATTCTGTTTTGCTTTATACTGTAAGAGCCTTCACAACAATTTTGTGTGCGCTCCACCAATACACTTCCATAGTTTTCGAATCATTGTCACAGCTTCCACAAACTCATCATTTATTTCACAGAGCATTACAGGGTATCCTGCGATTATAGACAAAATATCAAGCCGCCTGCCGCCATTTCCTGATGAAGTACTGAAGTGTGTTAAAATGTCATCAGAGAACAAAAAAGGTTGGGATCGGGCGAGGGAAATGGATATATATATATATATATATATATATATATATATGGAATGAATACAGATAGATCAATTATATCTTCGCAGTCAATATAGTTTTTGAAGACAAGATTCTATGATATCAGATTTGAATGTACCCGGTCATTATTCATGTCTCCAACTGCCTGAATGCTTACTTTTCTTCGATAATATATTTCACAAAGAAGAAGAAAAAGAACTTCCTGTTAAGAATAGACCTATAGCGGTTTCAAAATAATTCTAGGTTATCATAATTCATTAACGGATTCTACCTGAAGATAGCCAACCTAATGTTATATTCCCGTGACCAAAAAAATATTTGAGATAGAATGAGGCACCGTAGCATCATCTATGATGATTTGTCACAGCTGTTTCTCTATATGTATATACTAAGATTTGTGACTCGTAGATGTCGCTGTAGCCAACTATATGAAAATACAGCATAGAGTACCTGTCAAAATACTTCAAGGAGTGTGTATATTTCATATTTTCATCTCTTGAGTTATGACGATTAAAAAATAGGAAAGATGATATATTATTATTTCAAAAACCGCCGCAACTTCTTCCACCTTCAAATCTGCCATTGGTAATAAAGGAATCATCAACTTGAGCATTTTATAGACGAATTGCTTATGGGTGAAAGATGAAAGGTAATAAATCAAGGACCCTGGCTGTAATAAAGCTTTTCAAACGCTGGGATATTTTCAGTACGGATTCGCGTCGTGTATCGGCGGAGTGTGGGTAGAGACACAGAGGGACCTGATTATTAGGGTGGGTCACTTTTATATGTGAAAAAAAAATGTTCCTTTTTTTCATAAGCTCAGTGACAAAAAGGTGCTAAATCATGAGTGTGAACATGTTATGAAGTTTGATTGCAATCAGAATTAATCTTCTGCCTCCGGAATCATGTGGAAATTGTCAAAGATGGGGTTAAAGGAGGTATAACTGCGTGGCATACAAAGTCACACTAATGAATATAATTTACAAATAAATGTCTTGAATGAATAGTAGGTAAACGTTTATTGAACAGAAAAATGTTTACAACAAAAATAATAATGAATAATCATTGAGCGAGGGGTTTATTTTGTAGAGAAATCCTTTTTGCTATCAAATTTTGGCATTGCTTTTCTCGAGTCCATCTGGGCTTTGATGAATCCCTCTCTCATTAGCTTATTGCACAAAGTGGTTGAGGCCTCGGTTACAGCTTTGACTGCTCTTTCTACTGCTTGTGTGTGACAAGGAAGGCGTAAGAAATCCAAGTCTCTTTCTCCTTTCTGTTCAATAAATAATCGGAGATATTTTTCGGTTACAGATTTCAATAATGGTGGCTCAGAGATATCTTCTTGCCAATTCAAAAGATCATAATACGTTGATGCATTGAAGTTAATCTGTGGTAACTTAAAAATGCGCAAATCTTTAGTTGTTACTGATCTAGCTTTCAAAATGCGTCGTGCAGCTAATTCACGAATGTGCGGCTGAGAGTCTGTTAACATTGCGAGCAATACGTTTTCCGGATGTGCGAAATAGCTGTTTCTTTGAATTACTGGATCGACGATAGATTTCAAATTTGCTGGTAAATATCTGGATAACTCGATGAGTTTGAAAAAGTGTCGCGATCCATCTTTACAGCTAGAATGAGATTTTATAGAAAACCATATCGGAGCATAAACCTTGATAACATACGTTGCAAGAATAGTTAGACTTTCAGGCGGAGTCTCTACAGAAACATACAGACGGAGGATCCTGTTCGCACGAGTCAGCCACCTCGCATGCGACATTTTACCTGGTGATTTATTAGCCAAATCGCTAGGAAATACACCGGTTGAGATTGCTTCAACCATTCTGTACAAGTATTTTTGGTCAGTACTGATATCTTTAGCAGAAAGCTCCGGTATGCTCGTTGGAATAGGCTTAAACTTGCTTATAGGTCTTTTTTCGCAGTTCTCGAGATCTTTGCCAATCGTTCCTGAAAATGTTCGTGGTCCAGAGGTACTACCATCAATATATTGGAACAGATGTCTAAATGGTAGTTCATTCATATGGAATAAACAAATAATCCATTGTAAGGGTCTACCTAACCGTTTCTCTAGCAGTCGTATAATACCGCCATATATGCCAACATTCACATTAGTTCCATCACATCCAATTGCAGTTAAATCATCGACGGATATATCAGCATTCAAGAAAAAGTCAAATATTTCATTTGCTATACACTTTGCAGTGCCTGAAGCAGGTGTAATATAGCCTAAAAACTCCGAATAAGGTTCTTTTATCAAAAAAAGGTGCTCTTCAACTATGC